TTCTAGTTCTCAAACAAGGTACAACGAAATTAATACTACATAAAATTACGCTAGAGTCCAAGTTATTATGTAAAAGTTTATACAAATTGGTTAAAGAATTACATTTTCGTCTTATATTTTAATTCAAATCTAATAGTAAGATGCTCATGAAGTATATTCCTAGGAGGATACGTACCATCAGCCAACATAATGCTTCCAGTACCAACTATTAGCAATGGTCGATTCTGATGTGCGCTGTTTTACGCTGTCTTATTTTAATGCCTTTTTTTAGAATATCTCATAAAAACATATTCTTTTTCGACACTTGAAAAGCTTTTTGCAATAACATTTTTATCTCTTTGGTAACTGACTTCTGTATGATCTCAAAAGCTACACAATCTTTGTATAAAATACATTTAGTTGAAAACTCGCTATGAAAAATAAGAACAAAAATCGTGGCCAACTAGAGCATTTAAGCAAAAGAAAAACCAATATTCCACATATCCTGAAAACCACTAACCTGACACTACCTTATACAAAATCAACAATCAATGCTTAATGTGATGGAATTATAAAAACAATAGCTATTCCATTTGAAAAAATGGGCTTTTTTGCTTTCTTAGAATGCAATATTCATTCTGTTCCTTGACCACTTTACACTTTTTGTTATTCAAATCCGGTATAAATTATACCAACTCCCCAGAATTGTGCACAAGATCATGCTAAATAAGCATATTTCAATAATAATAATAATAATATTAATAATAATACATTTATTTCATTGTTACATAGCCACAGACTATAGCAAATCAAAGACCAAAAGGAAATGGTAAAGATTTTAACTGATTTTTGAAACTACTTAATGTCGGTGCTTTTTGGATTCTTTTCAAATTTTGGAAAATTTTGCAACCCAAATCAAAGATTTCTGATATGCCGCTGAACGATGTTTAGGGAGTTTTATCAGATCTTTAGATGGAATTTCCATTTATATTTACGCACAGATATTGACAATTCATAAATTCAAATACAAGCTACTGTTAAAATGCTTAAGGATCAAAAATAATCGGTGCAAGCTTCACGCCAATTAAATGATTCTTATAACATATTTCTGGAGAAGAAACACTGTATCTATCGATGAGCTGCATCCCCAGCTTAAAATGTCAAAGCGTAAGTGACAGTAAAAGCTTAAATAGTAGAGAGTAAGTAGAACTTACTACAGTGATAAACATTTTATACCATAAGAATTTATACATTTTACAATTGTACGGACCTGTTTGACGGACTTGATCCATGTGATTTGTATAAAACATGTTGGTAGCTAACTTTCCAAGAGTAGCTAACTTGTGCGTTGCCAGGTAAGTGCAGTGTCGACCTACTTGACGCGATTTTTTTGAAGTAGTATTGATGTGTTGTATCGTATATGCGACAGCAAAGACATGCCAAGATGGCTTCGGTTCGACACATTTAGGCATTCGAAACACGTTTCCTCCGCAGTGGCCGAACCTAAGAAGGCCCGAGACCCCGAGAAGAAATAAAAAGGAAACGCGGTGAAGACGAGACAAGAACGTCAGACCCAGCGCATTTAAGTAAATTGGAATGAATTGGAGTTAATTTCGTTTTGTAGTTGTTTGGGCTTGAGACTCGTCGTACTGAAACAGAGGTCAACGACCTCTGTACCAAAAGTGGTTTGACAGGTCATTACTTTATTTTTCTCTACTTGTGATGTTTTTTAGAAAAAACCTATCTTTTACTTCCTACAGGCGGTTAAGCATTGCTAACGAGAAAATTTTCAAAAATGAGATATGATTTTTTTTGATGTTATATACAGCACGAAATACCATTTCACTAATTTACGTCGGTCTGTCCGCCAATCTTATAACCGTCTATATCTTGGCAAGTACAGCTTGGATTTCGATTAAATTCTTACATAATGTTACTACTATGCCAAGGACACAAAAGAAGAAAAAGGCCGAAAATATAAAAGTAAAAGTCGCCAAAACTTCGTTTGTTGACGTTTCAGATGATCCTCATCATTTTCGGAAATACTTTTATAAGGGTTATACATTGGTGGTTAGGGGTTGCAGTTAGCGGAGGAAACTGTTTCTACGCTTATATTGTGAATATTTACTCATCATAGATGTCCCCGTACATTTAGCCTTAAAAATTAGAAGTATCTCCTACATTCGGGTATCGCTACGCGCGACGTGGTCCCTCGATAACCAAGCGCCGTGGTTGGTGGTCGTACGTCACGGTCGACAATCGCTTCCCCAGTGCTGTGGGAGGAGGAAGGTCATTTAATATTTTAATATTTTGGCCTAACTTGTACCAAACATAATCCTTTACGAACTGAGCGTAGCGTAGTAAGAACAGAGTCAACTTCGACAGTTAAAATTTAATGCCGATCTCGCTACCCCTGTATAAATTTTAACCAACACTAGTATGTTTTAACTATCAATCACATACAAGGGTTATTCGAGCTTGTATTAATTTTTGTATGGGTTAAGTGGAGGAAAGCCAGGTACGTTATATTTGGCCAATAATCCTGAGAGCGCTCATGGATATTGTGTTCTCGAGAGCATCCTGATCTAAAGTTCTCATGGGCTCTCAACAATCCTATGAAGCGTTTCCATGATGTACAAGATGTCCCAATCATGCGAGAACTGAGAATTTCTGAATAAAAGCTCGTCAAAGAAGACTACTAATGGGTTGTCCGAGGGTACAGTCATAAAATACTCACATTTATACAGGGTGTATATACAGAGTGACTTTGAAGTTGAGTCATTAATTTTCAGATAATGTTTGTAGAAGGAAGATAAACCAAAGTATGTGTGTAAAAATAAAAAAAAATTAAAAAAAAATGTTACCTTGTTTTATAAAGTATCCTCCCGACAAGTATTTCAGTGCGGACCTGTATTTGATCGTGCGGTCTTGGAGCACCGGCATGCCCTCCCCTGTGAGGTCTTAAGTCACCTGATTCACGAGCCCTTTGTACTACATTAACAAAGGCACGAGGGGTTGGTTGCACTCGATTGGGAAACCGATCCGCATAAATCCGTGATGCCGCGTAAATAAGAATCATGTCCACAAGTTCAGCATTTTCGTAAACATGTTCCATTTTTTATTTCGTTTGAGCCACGCAACAGACACCACTATTCACTCATGCGTTACCGACTGACACTGACTGTATACAACTGAATAAAATAATTGTAAAAACATCGTTCCAAATTCTTTCGCTTTTTTGTTTCCGATGCGATGAACCGATAAGGCGGATTATATCCGTTGTTGCCAAACACGAGCACATAATATTATTATTGAAACAGGGCGGTACCCAAACTTCCAAAGGGCTATAACTTTGTTGCTTTAATTTTACCAGAAAAATGGTAAAGGAAAAAAACATTTCTTTTGATCAGATCTACTCACTGTTAAAATAAATGACTCAACTTCGAAGTCACCCTGTATATATTAAAATAATGGGGCATTCCACATTGAAATATCCACATTGAGAGATGACTTCTGTCAATAATAGAAAGATTTATTTTTACCTTCATGGTCATGGTCAAATAAAATAGAATTGCGTCTTAAAAACAAGTGACGACCTTGATATGATCTCGAAGGTTGAGGTCAGGGTTAATCATTATGAAAATGGTAAACTTAATTGACTCACTTTTATCACTTCAAGGGTCAGCAAAAAAATTAATTTGAGTTCAACGGTCATAGCCAAGATCTATTATTGGCAGTGTCCATGGGCGATTCGACTATTGTATTTCATTGTGACTTGACTTTGACATGACTTTTAAGATTATGGTCGTGGTTAAATCTGTGAAATTCTAATTACCTATGATTTCCTTTCATCAATATATTATGCCTACATTAATACAAACCGTCAAGGCAGCTGATATGTGGGGTGTTAAACTTTGGAGTTTTTTTTTAGATAGTAGGTTATATGAATCTTTTTTAAAAGCGCCTGTCCGAGTGTGAAATAAAAAGTAGGACCTTCCATTTAGAATAAGTATTTTTGATGTGGCAGAAAATTGTGTGTGTGTGTGTATAATTGTGAGTACCTTAGAAGTGTGCCCTTGTATATGTATAATAACCCATAAACAGTTTTCTTTGATAAGTTTTTATTTACAATCAATACTTCGTTTTCGCATGCTTGGGACACCCTGTATATCATGGAAACGCTTAGAGCCCACGAGAACTTTGATCAGGATGCCCTGAAGAGCTTATTCTCAAAGTTTAAGCAAGATTCACCATACACTAATTTCCGTAAGGTCTGTGTCTCCTCCTTTGAAGATTCTTCCATTAGTTTCTTTTATCGCCGGTTCAAAATTTAACTCACTCTTCCTATAAAAACAGTATATATTAACCTAGATATTGTGGGCAAGTACATTGTTATTCGAAATCAAATTTGCATGTAGAGGCATATAAATGTATCCGTCTGTATTCCGAATTACTCAACGTTCCACGAACATGGAATTTCGAAATACTAATGGACCACCACATTGCAGTACATGGAATTTAAAATGGAGGATTTTGCCACTAGTATTTCACGAATTTTCAGCTGAGAAATAAACACTCATATGCGGATGGAATGTAGATTCACACTGTTTTATTTTTGGCAATTTGACCTATAAAGAGAAATACAAATATAATGTATACTGTATTACCTATGCCACTGTAAAAAACATTACTTACTTAGTTACCCATTAGAAATTAAAATTTCATGATTGTTCATACCGAAGCAGCCCTGTTGGCAGAAGCCTAAATACTGGGACATTCTGACCGCTAAATGCATTCATCGATTGTAGTTGACCAGAGTATGAGAACTTGGTAAGTGGTAGTGGCTTATGGCGTGACAGTGGTGTGGCACCGACGTGGCAGAAGCCTGGTGTTTTAACGCCTACTAAAGTGGCACAGAAGCAGCACACAAAATGCAAGTTTAGTTATTAGTACAATGTCGCATTAGAGGTCGAAGATGTTCTTGCCTTAGTGCATTTAAATAATATTCAAAGAAGACGATAATGGGTACATCCCTTATGGAAAAAGAAAAACAAAAAATATGGCATCTTTAATGTATTCAAAGAGCTAAATCAGTGTCCAGAACGGTTTCAGTCTTTTTATCGAATTTCTAAAGACTGTTTTACTCGGCTACTGAACATAATAAAACCAAAAATAACTAAAAAGAATACAAACTGGAGAAATTGTGTTAGTGCAGAAGAGCGATTATTAATAACTCTTAGGTAAGTAATTAAATAATAGCTGCAGAATACAATAAAAAATGGTTTTCAAATACATTATGAAATTTATGAAACGTTAATATTAACACATAAAGGCAAACACAAAAACAAGTTATATGAATACCCTTGAGGCTGCTGATTCGATAAACTAGTAGCATAATTAAAATCAGTTCCATGTGATCTTTGTAGTGTAATGTATGATCGAATTCTATTTTCGTTTGCTGGTTGATTTGAGGTTAATCGGAGATTAAGCTTGTATATTGGAAGGGTTTGAGGAAGATTCGCTAAGCGGTGAAATCATTTGATGAACACTTGAATTTGTTGTCCGATTTTCTTCTAAAACTTCTCCAGCTAAGTTTAAAATGCCAATTTTAAATTTACTTTTTTGAAATTCAGTCATGTCCGGTAGCATCAGAAAAGCCCTATCCGGATCCTCAGTTTTTTCAGGACATTCTTGTAATTTAGTTCGTTTCTTTTGAAAATATTCAAAAGCACTTGAATTCACTTCTTGCAAAGAAGGGTATTTTATTGTTTCTTTCTTCTTTTTTTGGTACGTGGACAACTTCTGAACTATGTTTTTCCTCATATTCATTGGTGTCACTTAAAGGCGCCTCTAATTCACTGTCCGACTTGCTCGAATCAATTTCATTTGCTATACTTTCTTCTTAAATCTTTTTAGTATTCTCCAATGATTTTCTTGATTTTGTGAATGGTTGTAAAAAATGTAAATTTTCTGCTAGATAGTAGGGTTTGACTGGTTTTTCCGAGGATCCCGACGGAACTTTTTTATGTAAATATTTTGTAAAACTTCCCCGGATATGTTTCTATCTTTCCTTGCAGTCATTTACTGAAACAAACAAAAAATGTTTTATGTTGCTTGTTTATGTGAAAAAAAATTAAAACCTTGATACATAAATAGCTATAACAGTTTTTCTTTTGTGTTGTTTCAGATATTCTGCCACGGGCTCATCTTTTAAGTCCTTACAATTTTATTTTTTAAGAGGGCATAAAACAATACGAAAAATTGTTCATCACACAGCCTAGATGTTATGGAAAACTCTACAGCCAGAGTTTTGACCAAAACCGACTAGGGAAAAATGGTTGGATATCGCTGAACGCTTTTATAGTCTATGGAATTTACCTAATTGTATTGCGAGCATTGAAGGCAAGCACATTAGGATAAAAGCACCCCCAAATTCAGGATCTGCATTCCACAATTATAAAGGTTTTTTTCTATAGTGCTGTTAGCTGCTGTCGACGCAGATGGCTTAATTATTTCTGTAGATGTGGGTGAATATGGCTGCAATAGCGATGGGCGTGCGTTAAAGGAAAGTAAATTTGGAAAGCGTCTGGATCGAGAACTTAATATACCAGATCCAACTCCTCTTCCTGGTGAAGATGTAAATATTGGTTTTCCCTACTACTTTGTAGGTGACGAAGCACTTCCGCTCAGGAGCATTATGAAACCGTTTGCCCGAAATCAAGTTTCCAATGAAAGAATAATGTATAATTACAGATTTCTAGGGGACGCAAATCAGTGAAATGCTGCTTTAATATGTTAAGTACTAAATTTGGAATATTACAGACGCCCATCTGTATGAAAACGAAAAGGATTGATATAATAATTCTAGCAATATGTGCTTTACATAATTTTATTCGTATTCACGATGGAATTTTTTCCACACCTAAACAACCAAACATTATTCAGCACATACCTGTTCAGGATTTGCAAATACAAAGAAACACTCCACAAAATTTAAGACATCGGCTTTGTAACTACTTTTGTAACATTTCTCCCATTCCAAACCAAGGATATTACAATGTTTAATAACCTTTTTAATAGGTATTACAATACCATGTTACCTCTACTATATTTTCTAAGTTGTAACTATAACCTTACTTGTTACTAATAAATAATTATTTTATTAAAAATTACCTGTTTCCTTAATTGTTTTCGAGATTTCATTCCAGGCAGCATCTTGTTGCAATAATCAGGTCGATTATAATCATATAAACATGGTTTTGATAAAACTAATTCGACAAAGCGAACATTAAATTCCAAATCATCCCGCATTTTACTGCCAAAACTATGAAAACATTCAAAACAACGAACGAGATCGGACTGGCACGCCGCTTTCAATGCACCACTAGTGGTTACAATATGGCGTGCCACATCTGCACCGCTTCCACGCCATCTCAGTGTGCGTTGCTTGATTCATTTACATTATCTTTCTATTGCCACTCGCCAGAACCACGCCGCTGCCAGACTTCCGCCACTTCTGTGTGCGCTGGGCCTAAAGGAGACACATTTGCCACAAAACAACAAGGTGTTCCTTCTATTTATAAATCTGCTTGGAAACGTGGATACCTCCTCGCCCAGTGGTGTAGGAAGTAAAAAAACTTGCTAAATCTGAATGATAGTAAATATACCTTGCTCAATCGGAAACGCGATTCCGACCTATTTTTTCACCACAGAATTTGAGTCCACCGAAAGAGATGTAAAATTATTGCTACTCATGTAACATATACATCGCTTCCTTTCTAGAGGATCAAGTTTCCTTCGTCATTTATCAAAAGGCTGTTTTGAAGGTCTTCCCTCTTGCTTATTGTGCATATTACAGAAATCTGATACTTACTGGACGTATCGAATGCCAGTAAAGCTTTGGTTAACCTAAATATGAGCAATTTTGTGGTTTATCACTTTCATAATCATGCCTTGCGGTTGATGATTTTATCGAAAAGAGAAGGTGACAAGCTTTATTCTTTAAAATCGTGTGAAATCAGTAAAACTACGAACAACATATCAAAAGGTTATAGTCTATAAGATTCCACAGCTCAGTGACATTTACAGGATGGAATCACACTAAACCCCATCCAAATCTAAGATAGCGCGGATGTAAATATGGTCATGTCTGTGCAGACGATACTCGAAAGTTTAGGTATAGAACAGGGTCATATTCAAAACCGTCTAGCGATTATTGAACGATACCAACATCTTGTCCTAACACTTTCATAATTACGACTGAAATGCATTAGTTCGTTAGCTTTAAAAAAAGCAATTTGATATGGATATTTTAGATGAGTACTTGTTTTACATAATAGTCGACTAACTAAATCAACAGACCCTGGGACCAGTGTACTTGTCAAGAAGAACCTGGTCCCAATTCGACGGGCTTGTCTATGGCCTCTTCCCGGATGAGTTTGGTCCTTGGGTCTCTTCCCGACGTTGAAAAATCACCTCAAGGGACTCATTTTGGGGTCTAGCGTTTTGTGGCTTCAGAAGTATACTTTATCTGAAGTCACTTGAAACACTGTGAAATACCGGGTGCGTTTTATATATCTATATTTAACACGCTCAGTTGCTGCAAAAATCGCCAAATTTCGCAGCAAATATCCCCCGTATAAGATCAAAGGCAGTTTTACCGGTCCACGTGGAGTAAAGCACGCCTATGCGTGGACATAGCCAATGAGAAAGCGTGTATTTCAGAGGTCCGAACAAGTGCAGGTGGCTACTGAAAATTGAAACAGTTTAGCCAGTGCCGTGTAGCGGTAAATAAACGTGTTTTCTTTAGTCTGTCCGTGTTTTTTCATAGATTTTATTAGTTTGTGTGTTTTTGACTTTTGAATACTCAGTTTATTTGTTGATTTAATTGTTGTGTTGATTGTTCTTGTGTGTCCTAAATATGGCTCTTTGGAGACCTTGGGAAAATGCTCCAAGCCACGAGGAGATGGTTGATGAACCTGTGCAGGCAGAATTCTTTCATAAAGATTTAGAGGAACAGACCCAAAGAGTAATCCTAAATATGTATGATTGTCTGAAAAACGAAAACCCAGATTCCTCGCAAAATCAAATTTTAAACAGAATTTGTATCCTGACAAAAATCAGTCGGTCTACCATTTATCGGGTTATAAAAAGGGAAGATGTAGTCAACCATTCCTTCCACAGAAAGCGCATAGGGCAAAAATTAAAAAGAATAGACGAGGGTTTTCAGGAAGATATTCGTCGTATAATATACGGATTTTATAAAGAAAATTTGGTGCCCACGTTGGAAATGATACGGGATAAATTAAAAGATTATCCTGAAGATTTTTATAATTACAAATGCTTAGACTCACTGCACTGTATTGTAAAACTGTGTGGTTTTCAATACAAAAAATTAGATAAAAGAATGGTGATTATGGAGTCGTCTCGAATCGTTGAATTGCGCCAAGAATTTTTGCACAAAGTTAAAATCTATAGAGAGCAGAAAAGAAATCTGATTTACCTGGATGAAACGTGGTATGATACCCATGATGTTGTGCAGTACGGCTGGGTTGACGACAGCAACAAGTGCATTTTAAATGCACCATGCAACCGTGGAAAACGAATCATTATTCTCCATGCTGGCAGTGAAAATGGATTTATACCTAATGCCTTGCTGTTATCTGCTAAAAATATCAAAGAATCATGTGCCGACTATCATGAGGACATGACCTCCGACTTATTTGAAAAGTGGATAGAGCAGCAGTTAATACCAAACATTTCCCCAAATTCAGTGATTATTATGGACAATGCGCCATACCATTCCCGACAGAGAAACAAAATTCCGAATACAGACACAAAAAAACAAGACATTATTGATTTTATGAAGGATAAGGGAATGGAAATACCACAAAAATCAACCAAAGCCATATTATTGGATCCTATTAAAAGACAAAAATTTGAAAAAGAGTATGTTGTTGACAATCTGCTTCAGCAAAATGGCCATGAAGTATTACGTCTACCTCCCTATTACTGCATTTTTAACCCGATTGAGTTGGTCTGGGCTGCTTTAAAAAAAAGTAAGAAAACATAATCAGACCCCTCAATTAAGTGAATCGCTATTGGCCACAATAAGAGATGCAGTATCTCATATTGCTGCCACTGACCTATGGAAGCAGTGTTCTAGGCATATTATTGAAAAAGAAAATGAATATTGTGTTTTGCCTCCTGTAAATCCCGTTGTAATTCCTCTACAAGATGACTCTAGCGACAGCTCCGGAGGCGAGGATGATATATAAATACCTATAATGTAAGCCTTTATATACCTTTTTATATACCTACCTGCTATGTAAATATTTGCCTATGTCAAACGTTGGAATTCTGTAATTTTTCTATTTCTTAACTTTCAGTCAACATAAATTAAACTCCCAATATAAGTATTTTTTATCCCAAATCAAAAAAAAATAAGAAGATAGTAAAAACATTATTATTATCGTTCTAAATAAATGACCGCACGCCTATGATACGTCATGAAATTACAAAGGACGCGCCGACCAAAGGTTTTTATGCTATTTCAAGTGACTTCAGATAAAGTATAAGTTATTCTGAGGGTGAGAGTATAAAATTGTAATTACTATATATTTGAATAACTTTTTTTTTAAATCAGTCTCTTTACTTAATTTACAGACCTCGTACTACTACTGCTACTTTTATTCGGTACCCATATTGTAGGGGTTGCTATAGCCATTTACGTCGGCCTCCATATTGGATCTAGAATCTATTTATCCTCCAGGTGATGACGGGTACAGTTAACCTAAAACGTAACACCAATAAATCCACAAAAAATAGAACAATGCAATGCCCGTCAACGTCCTAATTGAACTTTATTACGCACTAAAACTATAATTTCTCAGATTGTAACTCCACGGTTAACCATTGTATTTCTACGCACATTTATCTACCTGGCTATTAAATAAACAATCTTTCCGTAAGTCGGATAACTCATTTCCATAGCCTACTTTCATTCTCCGATGCATCACTTTGTGCTCTTGTCAAGGCCAACTCGAAAAATTCATTTAAACCGTCAAGAAGAGACGGCGCCACGGCTGGCAGGTGTCATATATCATCAGATCTTATCTGGGCGTAATCCTATGAAAAAATATCAGGTTTATATATCCAAACCCACAGAGTTTGAACTGCTACTGCTGCCGCTTTTTTTTACTGGACTGGAAAGGCTGCCAAAGGTTATTCGAACAAAGATTAGAATCCATATCTTGGTGTATACTTTATCTGAAGTCACTTGAAACACTGTGAAATACCGGGTGCGTTTTATATATCTATATTTAACACGCTCTGTTGCTGCAAAAATCGCCAAATTTCGCAGCAAATATCCCCCCCGTATAAGATCAAAGGCAGTTTCACCGGTCCACGTGGAGTAAAGCACGCCTATGCGTGGACATAGCCAATGAGAAATCGTGTATTTCAGAGCTCCGAACAAGTGCAGGTGACT